TGGGTGGCTCAGAGTGAGTACCCATGTATGCATTGGGAAGGGCAACTCTTTGTAATCTTTAGAAAATATAAGCAAAGTGATTAGGCAAAGAAAGATAATGGAATGAAATTTTAATCATCAAAATATGAGCAGTGACAACTTGCTCTGAAATGTTTAGGCTTGTATTTCTTCCCTATTCCATAAATATCAATTTAATTATATGATAATATAATCCAATTATTGGATTCTAGAAAAGCAAACTCTTAATAAAAGGAAGCCAGGGCCCCTAAGTTGTTCATTTTCTAAGACCATAGTTTCCTTTAGATGTTCTTACTGCTTCTGAAATAGGGGTTTCCCAGTTTCTTCCTGGGTTATTTTTCTTCTTATTTCCATTCTAAGAGACCACTGCCTTTTGTCCTTTCATGTCATTATACCTTCAAAGTATCAATTTCAGACTAAAGCAATGCTTTATGTGACTGGCATTTTTTAAGGAATAAAGTAACATAAAGTAATGTTTCCAGAGATTCAAATATCAAAATAACTTTATTTTTAATTTGGCCATTTTAACAATTCATTTCCATGAAATCTGTACAAGGCATTGAGCCAGACATGGTGAGAGGCATAAAGATAAACAGACTTGCTCCTGTTGTCCAGGAGCTCACAGTCTTGGGGAAGAGCTAGGCCACATCAAATAACCTTTTGGGGGCCAAAGTATGACAAGTGACAGAAGAGAGGTGCAGAGAGGATCTATGCAAGTACCAAGGAAGGAGAGATTACTTCTAGTTTGGTGGTCAGGGGAAACTTCTTGGAAACAATCTTGATGATGAATGAGAAGAATCTGGCAAACACAGTGGTGGAGACAGATGCTCTGGGTGCAAAAGAAACCTGGAGCAGAGTTTCTAGGACAGGAATGCATGCGTGTACTCGGGGGTCACAGGAGTGTGATGGAGAGGAGGCAGGAAAAGGAGGCAGGCCTTCATTTTCTGTGTGATAAATGCCATGGCCAGGAGGTGAGACTTTATTCTGGAATAATGGGCAACCATTGTCTTACTCTAGGCTTTGAAACAGGAAATGACATGATCCGAGTAAAATTCAATTCAGCTCAACACTTGGTGTAGTGGATACAGAATCATATTCTTGGTGCTGCCCTCAGTGACCTTCACATTGGTGGGGACAGATGTATAAATGGATAACATCAGTAAAACGTCATATTTTAAGCTAAAATAGATGTATGTACAGGAGGCTGTGGGAGCCCGGAGAAGGTACTCTGGGGGTAAAGGGAGAAGCTGATCCCTGCTATGAGTCTTGTGAGAAAGGTAAGAATTACTTAGATAAAGAGGAGAGGGAAGGATAGTCTAGATTGAGAGGACACAGGGAACAAAGTCAGAGAGCACCAGCTGACGCTGGGTGTGTAAAGAGAGAGAGCAGTTCCATTCTACAGGCCTGTTCAGCATGAGGCAGAGAGAAGGGAGTGAGCGAGGAGGGGGAGATGAGGGGCAGGGATGGTCCTTTGGAAACTTCGCTCAGTGTGGAGGCAGGGGAACCGGGAGACTACTGGAGTGCTCAGAGCCTACGGTGGTGCTGCGGTTAGGAGGCACGCCCAAATGGGAATTCCAAACTTTACACACAGCTCTGGCACTTAAGGGGGTTCAAGTTCATATTGACTGACAACTCTTATTAATACTCTGTTATTTCCTAGTCTTAAGCATTCCCAGCACTCCCGGGAGCCTTTCAATCTCCAAAAAGAGCCTTCACCACATCTATGGGACCACCTTGGTCCCTTAATGCCCTTTTTCTTTTCTGCCACGCCAGTGGGACACTCTCCCTGTGAGTGTTAATCTTTGGCTTGTTTGGCTTTCTGTCCTGGCCTCAAATCTTTACATAGAGATTTTTTTCCTTTCTCTCCTCCGCAACCAGGGCTTGATGATGTGAAAGCAAGTGGGCTACATTGTGATTGGGAGGGGAAGGGTGCAGTGCGAGGCTAAATTTGTGATGGAGGCACAGAGAGGTAGGATTCTTTTTTTAAAAATTGATTTTTTTTAGAGAAAGAAAGAGCGCGCACGAGAGAAAAATATCAATTGGTTGCCTCCTGAGTGGGGATCAAAGCTGCAGTCTAGGTACGTGCCCTGACCAGGAATTGAACCCGCCACCTTTTGCTGTACAGGATGATGCTCCAACCAACTGAATCACACCAGCCAGGGCAAGGGGTAGGATTCTAATACTGCTTTCTAGACCTAGAATAAACAACAACAGTGTGATATTATTCACCATGACCTAGAAATACAAATAGAGGAGCATATTTAAGAGGTGGGAATAGATGACAAATTTGAATTTGTATATGCTGAGCCTGGAGTGTCAGCAAGACAGTTGGGTCATATTTAGCAAGCACAGTGCTTTAATTCAATGTAATATGCCAGCAGTCTCCAAACCTGTGTGCTTAAAATACCATTCATGGTCAAACACCACAGACAAATGACATGGAGATTGATTATACACTAATAAATCCTGTAGGAAAACACCCATTTAACTTAATTTCCTATGCTTTTCCTATATTTTCCCCAAAATATCTATTGACATCATTTGGAATGTTGTTGTTTTTCCCCAGGAACAGTGTTTTAAGAAATGCTCATTATAGCGCTAAGGAGCTGTGATCAGAGGATGATTAAAATAAGAACTTGGGGGTGGAGGGGGCTATTTGCATGGAAGGGAGAGTTGAAGCATTGTGAACTGATGACTCACCCAGAGTGAACACAGAGAGAAAGGAGGTTGGAGAAAGAATCTTTACAAATACCGTTTGATACCTCAAACGGTACGAACGAACATAATTTGGAGAGGCAGCAAACTGACAGAAAAAGCATGGGTTTCAGAATTGACATGTGTGACAAGTGATCTAATCTCTAAGTCTCAGTTTTCTTATCTAAGAAATAATGCCCATCTCGTTGGGTTGTACTGAGATTTAAAATAGATAATATATAAAGCACCTACCACACAGTATTCACCTAATCCACTCTCAATAATCAATATTATGATTACTATTTTAATTTAAATATTCTTGATAAGTTGAAGCAAAACTTTGGTGATTACAGTGCTATATTAAACCTGAATGTTGGAACAATTACACAGGAGAAACCTTAGTCATTGCTATAAAAAAAAACCTGAATGCAAGGAAGCAACTCCAGTTCAGACAAACGTGGGTCAGGAACAGTGGGACAGGAATGGAAGCCACAGAAGCCAGGCAAGGGGAGAAGACACCACAGGAATTTCCCTAAGGCATCCATGACTAGTTTTTTTTCATCAGTTTTTCATGAAGAGATGCTGGAAGCTAATATCAGAACCTTAGTGAATTATTTGCTCTCCCTAAAAAATTATGCGCTAACCCCTCCTCCACCCTCCCAGCATCTGGCTGTAGGTATCAGTCTGGCCTGGGGAGACATCCTCTGACAATAGTCATTATCAGGCACCCTCAAGGGCAGGCCAGGGGGAGAGGCCTCAGTGACAGAATACTGGGCTAATGAGATATACTCCTGTCTGAAGATGTCAGAGTGTCACAAACACAGGCCTCCGTCATTTTCAGTATTGGTCAGTTGAGCATCCAAGGTCAAAAAAGATTTTGAATTTAGAGTTAAGAGTTCTGCTGACTGTCACAGCTGGTTAGCTCTTCTCTGTCCCAGCACAAAACTGGGACAATTACTATGATTTTATCTGGATCAGCTCATCTCAAACCCTAAAGGGATAGTGACTAGAATGTATTATTTTGCAGAGTTTTTTCTGCAGGACTCAGATCGGTCGAAGGAGTTTGTGTTGTTCAGATTAGCCATTTAACATGACTAGCCAGTGTTCTTAACCAAGGAGTCATCCCATAACACCCAAGATGTAGATGGAGGAGGTCACTAAGGGTGGTGAACCGCTCTTTGAGGAAGCGTTTAGGGCATCAAGGTTGTTCAGATCCTTGGGAAGGGACAGTGTCAGGGTGACAACTGATTTATGCGTGTGGATACACAAGGGTATTGTGGCAGGAGATGCTCATTAGTTATTCTCTGAGCAAAGCTAGGCTAAAATAGAAATGAAATTTACCCTAGAAATTCATAGCGTCTCTCTCAGGAAAGCACTTGCTGTCAAAAATGGATAATTCTGTAACAGATTTGTTTATATGGTCACTTGCCTAAAAATCACAAGACTGGGGCATAATGAATAGATATAAAAGAGTAAACAGTGCTGCTCGAAATAGTGTCTCAAGACTGGCAGCGTCAGCATTGCCTGAATCTAGCATCACCTAGAAGGGCAAATTCTCAGGTTCCACCCTAGGCATACAGGAAACAGAATCTCTAGGCAATGTGTTTTTAAAAGTTTTCCAGATACTTTTTTGTTGTTGTTGTTAAATTTTATTTTTGATTAAAATATTACAGATGTCCCTTTTTCTCCCCAATGACCCATTCCACCCTGTCCCTTCCCCCTCCCCAGTCCCTCTCCCCACCATTGTCCGTGGGCTGTGCATATATGCATATAAATTCTCTGGTTACTCTCTCCCCCTCCACCCACCCGCCCTCCTCCATCCCTCTGACATTCATCAGTCTCATCTATGCTTCCATGTCATTGAATCTATTCTGTTCATCAGTTTATTAAGTTCTTTAGATTCCACGTATAAGCGAGATCATGTGATATTTGTCTTTTGCTGCCTGGCTTATTTCACTTAGCATATTATTTCCAGATACTTCTTGCTATACTATAATTCCCACTTCCATTAGCTCACTACACTAGCTGGCTTCCTTGTCTTTCTACTCTTGGTTTCCAGTTCTTTCATCCTTGTGGTAGCTAATTAGACCACCTGGTTATCTATGAGCTTAGTTTTATAATTTTTAACATCAACCTAAATCAGAATTCTTCTGTGCAACCCTGTATTAAAAACTGATTCTTAGTCTTGTAATTTTGTTTGCAGCAGTAAGACCAGAGGTGTAAGTTCTGCTCACGTCCAGGATAACAATGGTATGAATTAGGGATGAAAAAGGGAGAAAAGTACTTACATGGGCTGTGAGCTGCTCCTGGGAAGCTTTCACTTCAGCGTGCAACTTCTCAATGTACTGAAATGGAGAAGAGTTTAGAAACAAAGTGTATAACTCTTCCTTTTATGTATTCAAAGTATTCTAGATATAAATATGTACAAGTTCTCAAATCTTGTGAAAGTATTGCAGATATAAATATGTACCAATTCTCAAACCTTTGAATGGCATTATCTCAGCTAGAGGTTTTGAAAATTATCATTAAAGAAATTTATTGCATCCATCCCGATCTCTCTTCCATTCTATGGAAGAGCCCAATGATAAAGTACATGAATGTGTTAAGAATTAGAAAACGATTGGGAAAGATGATGTTTGCTAATGTACTGCAGGTAATGTTAATCTACCTCATATCATATATACATAGATATGAGGCCAAATGGGTTTGTCTTTGTAATACATGGATATGTTTTTCTAAGAATATATATATATAAAATATATATTCTGTGAAACATATGTTATATGTAATATATATTCTGTGGAATATATATATATTCCAAAGGCAGGTACAAATCCATTTGAGTTGAACAAGAGGTAAATTTATACTATAACACATATATAAATGTCCAGAGATTCAGAGGTGAATAACTTCTTATAAAGAATTGATTAAAAGCATATGCCAAATTTTCTGATCCACTGTTTTACAACACAGAAGCTATTCCTTAACTAAGTTTAACCTTGAAAACTAAGAAACATTTGTATAGTCAATACTACTTACAAAATAAATATTCAGCTAATATGATTCAAAGGGATACATGTCAAACAAACTTTAAAAATATTACTATGTAAATATTTATCAAGGAATACAATTACGTTTAGCAAATACAAATATTATTTGCCATCTTGAACTTAAATCTGAATCTCCAACCCAGCCAGTAAGGACTGTAGAATTGTTAGCTCATATCTGTTTAGGTAACTTTTAAAATGAAGATGATTTTTCTTCTACCTCATACCTGGTCTCTTTCAAGAACCATTTTTTCGAACGGTTCCCCACTGTGTTCCTTGTGGTCCAGAGCCTCTAGTTTTTCCTCCAGCCAGGAAACTTGCTCAAGCAGCTTTGATTTTGTTCCTTCAGAGGCTAAAAGCTAAAGACATTTGCTTGTAAGGGTATGTAACTATCATGACTTTTTTAAAACTTCTTTTAAAAGTCCAATTTATAAACAAATTACTCCCATCAATGTCTCTTAAATATGAAAGTGGCTTTTGGAATATTCCTCATAGCTGACAAATGATTAGACAGATAAGGAGATAATATTGATTTTATTTATTTTTTTATTATAAAGATCTTTTGGGCAAGAGATGAGACCACATAGTTACAACAGGCAGAGGGATTTCTAGTGCAATGATCTCAACAGTCATCTTTATTATGTTACAAGATCACTTTATTTGTACAGCTGTATCTGAAATCTATATCGTAGTCCACATGTGGTTCTTGAAACTGAACTCTTGGGGGACTACAGCTCTCCAGAAAGAGTAGGAGTTCTGATTCCCTTAAATGTTCACCATATAAGCAGCTGGGTAGATGGAGCTGAAGGAAAATGAAGGAATTTCAAGTTGAAATTTGATCAAGGGCAAGTCTATGGTAAACTGTAACCCCCTCCCCCCCAAAAAAAGTCTAGAAGTGACTGTCTTTGTTTTACTGTTTGTAGGTTCTTCTTGAGGAAAGTGGTAGTTTGATAGTCCCTAGTCCCTTAATTCCCTCGGAGAGCCCCTAGACCAGCTTTTCCTTTCATTCAGGCAGCTTGCTCTGCTTTTTCGGCTATAGGTCAGCAACAATTCTGACAGAGTCCCCGGAACAGGACACACAACCTTGTGTTCATTCCAGCTTCTGGGGTATCATCTGAGGCAGGGATCTCAGCGGATACATGCCTTTTTTGTTTTACTCCAAGTGTTATTGTGAAGCCTATCATCTCATCTTGAAAAGTGCAGCAAGTATTTAATGACAATTTACCCAGTGGGGAAGCATGAAGAGGTTGGTCTACTGTGGAAGTCACGAGGGCACATCATATTTACTGGCATCCATCCATCCATCCATCCATTCATCTGCACAAATCGCCCACTTCACAAATATTTGTCTAGTTGGCACTCTCCACAGCCATTGTATTATATGCTAGAGATCACGGAAGTGCAATGAAAGGATCAGAAGGGACACACATGTCCTGAACTGTGGGCTATGCCTTTCTACTCTCAGTGACTTGGGAGGCCTGTGGTGCTCCTCATGGGCACTAACACAGTTAACTCTTGGGTGCACCATGGTTTGGGAATGTGGTCTAGTTTTTCTGAGCACCCTATTTTATTATACAGTTTAGAGTAACAGCTAAGCATACAGACTCTTGAGTGAGACTCTTTGGGTAAAAATCTCAGTTTGCTCCTTACTACCTATGTGATTTGGGCAAGTTGCTCAGTCTCCCTGGGCTTGATTTTTCTACCTGTAAATGGGAATGGGGATGGAAAGCATAGTACTTACCTCATGGGTTTGCTTTGAGGATTATCTGCGTTTATATAGGGAAACACTCAAAATAACTCCTGGAACACATCAAGTACTCAGTAGCTATTATTATTTCTTCTACCTTCTCTAGATTGCAGTAAGCACTCATATGTGTCTTATCCAAATATTTATTAGTTGAATTGTAAAACAAAATATCTGAAGACGTCACAGCCTCTGTGAGCTGGCTACCCTAAACTCAAACTGGGCGTGATTTGTTCACTTCCTGTAAGCACTCTGTGCTTCAGGGAAAAGGCTTCTCTACGTCTAGTATTTTTTCTCTCAAATATATTCTTTCTCAGTCCGGCCTATTTTGTGTCCATATTGCTCCTAATCTGTAATTCCTCCAGGCACCCTTTAATCATCTGTCTTTTAAATCTTCCTTCTATTTTTTTTAGGCCTTTACTTATTCACTCAATGGATTTTCATTGATTCACTCACTTGTTAAAGAAATATGTTGAACATTTATTATGTGTAAGACTTTGGGGGTAAAAAATGAAACCGATATTGTTCATATTCTCAAATACCTCCCACTGTACCAGATATTTTAAAAACCATTACATAATATGAAAGTGTATAGATAAATAATAATTGTAATTAACATTTACTGGGTACATTCCAGGTATTCTGCCAAACCTTTTGTTTTCATGTTTATTTATCTTAATTCAGCTTCATACCCATTTTGGAGATGAGAAAATTCACTGAGTTCAATGTGGTTGTACAATTTGCCCAAGGATGTGGCAAGTAAATGTTGGGACACAAGCTTTCAGTAGTGGTCATTGGATCCGATACCATCAACCCAAATTTGAGGGGTCTGACTATCACAATAATGGTCTCCTCTTTGCTGCTGATTGGTTCAGGAGTCAAAGCCTAAACCAATCAGAGCCTCGCTTTTCTTTGGCAACAGTTACTGTATGAGGAGATGTGACCTAATTTGGACCACTCGCTACACAGGAGGAACTTTGATGATTTGGAGACACACTCTCTCTTATATACCAGATATGAATGCTACTGTAGCCACCCTACAAATATCAGGAATAAGTTATGTGACAAAACCACACTCTGAATAGAAGAGTGGAAAAAACCTGCTCTGGTTCACATTATTGAAATGTTTTATCAAGCAATCTTGAAGCATGTCCTACCTTGAGACTTACACTTAGTGAGATAATGTTTCCTTATTGTGTAGGAGTTGAGTTTTCTATTACTTGCTATTACAAGCATTTTCCTGATAAACTCACGTCTGATTACAAAATTCCATGCTCTTGACAATAAGTGAGTAAAATCTATAGAAAAACAACAGTAACTAACATTTATTTGGTAACTACCTGCTGTGTGCTATCTATGTATGTGTTAACTTATTCTATTGCTCAAAACCCTATAAGGATTTCTATTTATATTTCTTATTGTTATGACTATTTTAAAGGTTGAGGAACTAGATGCTTTTAGGGATGAATTAACTTGCCCACAGCTAGTAAGAAGAGGTTGGCTTTGGGTCAATATTGGTCTGCTTCCACCTCTGGTTTCTATATTATATCCAAACCCTAACTCTGAGGTTGCCTGCAAAGGTGAGGCAGCCTCATCTTTGTGATTTTTCTCCCCTTACTATGTGGCCTTCAGCATTGTTTCTCTGCATATTTGTTTATTTGCCTGAAGAAAATTAATTTTGTTTCTAAGGCCTGAGAATTCTGAAATACCATCTGCTTCCTTTTCATATGGACACCAACCCCATCTCATTCTCCTCCTGTCCGGGGTTTCTGTCTTCACATCCCTTTGACTCAGATATGTTTATCTCAGGTTCAGCTTAACTCTAAAAAACCTTGACTTGGAGTCAGAAGGTCTATGTTTTAGCCTTAACCCCACAACTCACTGACTATGACCTTGATACCCAAAATAGGATTTTACTATGCTACTTTTCCATATTTTTCCATGGTACTTCTCTAGTCATATGTATTCAAACTAGCTTGTAAATTGTCCAGAAGAATGAATGGGGAGTTTGGTCAAGACTTACTACAAGACATAATCAAACAGGCCAGGAGCAATCTTTGCTGAGATAGTTCTGTTTATTAACTTTTAAACGGAGTCTTAGTTCTCAAATGTATCATCACCTTACAAAAGCAGGATAAAGGGATATTATTTCCTCTTCATGTGGACATGTTGGGGCAAGAACCAGTAATTTACTGTTGGATTACATTATATAATGATGAAACTGTTTATCAGCATAGGAAAATTGGTATTTCCCCAGCCTCTTTGAAAATGGCCCATTAAATATCCCTGATAATCCAAAAAGAAAGAAAAGAGATGAGAGCAAAATAAAATAAGAAGTATACATTTAATTTTTTGTTAATTTAAGCACCTCATAAAAGACTGTGCTCTACTGCCCAGTCACAATGTTAGCTGCCAGTTCGAATTCACTCCCTTGTTTTGATGGGGGCTTCAGAACTTTACAAAGTCTAATTTTCAATTCCAGAAACCCTTAGGATTGCTTCCTAAATTCAAATTCAAATTCAATTTCAAATTCAAATTCTGGGTTAGNATTCAAATTCAAATTCAAATTCAAATTCAAATTCTGGGTTAGAAAACAAGGCATCAAAGTAAGTAACAGGAAATCCAAGTTAGCAGCTACAAGATATGACAATTGAACTTAAAAACTCTGGGGACCTTGAGCATTGCTTCTTTTTTTTGTTTTTTCTTTTTTACTTTTTTCATTACAACTACTGTTTTACAGAGTAACTGTTTTGAAAGAGCATAGAAAAGAAAGCTCGGTCCAACTTAGCATCAAGTATCTGCTTATAAAAAGAGTAGAAATGCATCTAGTCTTTAAATGATCAATTTTTATGTATCCTAATTAGCCAGCTTTACAGAATGTATAGTTCACATGATGCTGGGAGGCTAATATTCTACCTTTGACTCCTTTTGAAGACCAGGCTCCCCTTCCCTTTTGCTCATGATCCTAACAACTTTGGAGTGAAGAGGTGATTTAAAAAGCACTAACAACATTTGTCTTAAGAATTATGTAAAATAAAGATACAACTTCATATTATACACTTGAAGCTGTGTAAATCCACTTAAAAAAATTCAACTTTTAATATGTACCTCAATGTACAATAAAGATAATTATAAAGATATTGTAACACAGTTAAAACTCAAAGGAAGATAAATTTTATCCACTGTACAATTAATTTATTGATACAGTCAAGAAAGTGTATTGATATATTTTAGAACTGTACTCAAGATAATAGTTAAGACAAAATGGTTTGTTTAATCACTTTGAATAATATTTTTATGAATAAAATTGGCTATATATTTTTTTTAATTTAAAATTTTTTCAATTACAGTTTACATTCAATATTATTTTGTATTAGTTTCAGGTGTTCAGCATAATGGTTAGTGGAAATGTTTCTTAATTTAAAACAATCAACATCTTTGGTCATTAATTAAGGAAATGCAAATCAAAACCATGAGATTCCACTTTATAGCCACTATGGTGGCTGTAATTTAAAAGGAATTAAATTAAGGACACATAAAGGAATGAAGTACTGATACGTACAATAACTTGGATGAACCTCAAAAACATTGTGCTAAGTGAAAGAAGCCAGACAC